AAGGGGGGTGCAGAGGCTGCAGGGCGAGTGGGGAGCAGGGGTCACAGAGGCTGCAGGGCAAAGGGGGGTGCAGAGGCTGCAGGGCGAGTGGGGAGCAGGGGTCACAGAGGCTGCAGGGCAAGGGGGGTGCAGGGGCTGCAGGGCAAGTGGGGAGCAGGGGTCACAGAGGCTGCAGGGCAAGGGGGGTGCAGAGGCTGCAGGGCGAGTGGGGAGCAGGGAAGCACTTAGCAACCCCCAACCAAGATCAGAGCGGGAGGGAGGAGGGGGAATGCGGGGTGCTCAGAGGAGGGAGCAGAGTTGGGGCAGGGACTTTGGGGAAGGGGTTGGAATGGGGGCGGGGCTGGGGTGGGGAAGGGGTGGGGCTGGGGCAGGGACAGGACCCCCGTGGAGTGTACTCTTTTTTCAGTGTTGAAATATGGTAACCCTAATTTCTGGGCCAAGCCATTTTGGAGTTATGACAAGCCAAACAAAACCTTCAGAAGGGGAAAAAACCTTCGTTTTTAAGCCTTGTCTCTCTCAAAACCTTTGATCAACATGCCATTCACTTTTCAGAAAGATACCCTCCCTAAAGTCATCCAGGAAGCTCGTAGCAGAACAAAAACCTGGATCTTCTGCTGCCCAGGCCCCTCACCTTAGTCACTGTACTATCCTTCTTCTAAATATGCTACTGTTTTGAGATAAGATTCTTCCTATACTGTACTGACAGGAAATTGCTTAGGGAAATAGTTAACAGCAATATGCAAGATAATGTAAGTGGTGTTCTGGGAAAGGAGATGAGCTACAGCTATTCCTTCCAAGCTTGGCACAGGTACATGATAGGAAATACCCTCAAGATTGCTCTGTTCCATGACTGATTCTGCAAGTTTCCAAGAAAAGCAATAGGATAAAATCAATGGAAGACAAAAATTCCTTCCCCTGAGATGTGAAATGCTTTGCAACTCTTGCCTTCTTGCTATGCAGTCTGCTCACCGTGGTTGGCTTTCCCATCAGACTAGCATCAGGCTACGAGTGATTAGAAAGCAGCAATAAGCTTCTGCTCTAATGTTCTGCTAATGCACGATGGTGAAGCACCTCATGAACTATATCTGTTGCATGTTACTGACCGTAAGGGTATTTCAGCACCTCATTGCTCGCTGGCTTCACTGGGAGATCCTGCAGTACTGGGGGGATGGAGAGCACTGCTAGCTTAAAGTTCATGTTAGTGCACATCCTTGAGGTAGCATCAGATCCTGGCAACAGGACTAGCTGTCTTAACAAGCCCTGAAAAGAGAGGAAGAAAAACTAGGGAGATCAAATCCATCAAGACTGCAGGTCATGGCGAATGACAGGTGATGGTCTGTGGTTTGAATTTCCCTTAAACTCCTGCAGTCCGAGTGGGTGTGATTCATGAACAAGGGTCAGAATTTAATGACACCATCTTAGCTTTCCAAGAAGTCCATCCACAGCAATTCTAGAGCCATCATCACATTAATGTCAATAATGGGACAATTAGCTTTAAGAAGACCTAGCTGCCAAATTAGGGACCAAGAATGACCACAGGCAACTGTTCCCTTGCCTTTACAAAATCACTGACACTTCAAAAACCACATCAGTCCCATAGATAAGGGACAGTCAATATTTTTTCACACCTCTAAGATATTTTATTAAAAACTTTTGACATTTTAACAAACTGCCTGAGTCACTTTCTATGTGTCGTGCAAGTCTGGGAAAATGAGAGGAAATGTTGGGTCATTTTACATTTCCCACGCTCAGAGACGGATCCACAGCCCATTGAAATCAATGGGAGTTGCTTTGGGTCAGGGAAGTAGGGGCAGATTTTTCAAAGGTGTTTAGGGACCTAAAGATGAACATAGCCATCTAGTGGTATTTTCAAAACACACCTATACATCTAGTGGTATTTTCAAACTCTCCTAATTTATGAGTTTCATAGAATCATAGAATATTAGGGTTGGAAGAGACCTCAGGAGGTCATCTAGTCCAATCCCCTGCTCAAAGCAGGATCAACCCCAACTAAATCATTTCAGCCAGGGCTTTGTCAAGCCGGGCCTTAGAAACCTCTAAGGATGGAGATTCCGCGACCTCCCTAGGTAACCCATTCCAGTGCTTCATCACCCTGCTAGTGAAATAATGTTTCCTAATATCCAACCTAGACCTCCCCCACTGCAACTTGAGACCATTACACCTTGTGCTGTCATCTACCACCACTGAGAACAGCCTAGCTCCATCCCCTATAGAACCCCCCTTCAGGTTGTTGAAGGCCGCTATCAAATCCCCCCTCACTCTTCCCTTCTGCAGATTAAATAACCCCAGTTCCCTCAGTCTCTCCTCATAAGTCACGTGCCCCAGCCCCCTAATCATTTCCACTGCCCTCCGCTGGACTCTCTCCAATTTGTCCACATCCATTCTATAGTGGGGGGACCAAAACTGGATGCAATACTCCAGGTGTGGCCTCACCAGTGCCGAATAGAGGGGAATAATCACTTCCCTCAATCTGCTGGCAATGCTCCTACTAATACAGCCCAATATGCCATTGGCCTTCTTGGCAATGAAGGCACACTGCTGACACATATCAAGCTTCTCGTCCACTTAATCCCCAGGTCCTTTTCTGCAGAACTGCTGCCTAGCCATTCGGTCCCTAGTCTGTAGCAGTGCATGGGATTCTTCCTTCCTAAGTGCAGAACTCTGCACTTGTCCTTGTTGAACCTCATCAGATTTCTTTTGGCCCAATCCTCCAATTTGTCTAGGTCACTCTGGACATTCACCATGCCCACTTCTCTCAGAAAACACACGGGTTAACCTGGTGTTTATGCCAACGGCTTGGCAAAGTAAAAGCAGCTTGAAATACAGGCCTGACCATGGCACGCGGAAGAAGGATTATGTCCTTGCTGCACCACCATATGAGCTCAGGTCCCTCCCTTTACTCACAGGGGATGGTAATTTACTGCTGGCATGTCTCAACAACAAATTGCTTCCCCGACTGTCACGTTATTGGTTTGAACTGGGACCATATAGAACATGGTTGCAACCAAGGTCCTGTAGTGGCACCAAATCTTGTATAAAGGGGGTGAAATTAGTTGTCTAAGACAAGGTTATGGTTTGCTGGTTATGATTATGCTGTCTATATGTGTGTATCAATTTTGTAGTTGAAGTTATGAATATTGGCTCTATACTGTCTGCTATGCTTCTGGGTGACATCCCAGACAAGTTGGTGTTAGCTCTGCCTAGCCTGCTGGATGGCCCATTAAGGACCATCAGCTATACAATTGACCCATTGAGAGAAGGCAGATATGCCTTGTGACTCAGCAAAGTATGCAAGGACTTGCCTATGTGACTGCAGACTCCATTTTG